GCAGTCGTGCTGCAGATGAACCCCTCAGTGCTGTCCCCTGTGGGGGAGGAGGGGACCAGACTAAACCCCTTCAGGGAGCAGGGGGACCTTGACACCCCCAGGAGACCCTGGCTGGGGGTGGGAGATGGTGTGGACCCATGTCCATGCCACGTGCTAGCTCTGCAGGGCTGGGACCGAATAAACGTGGGCAGCACGATGGCAGGCTTGGCTCTTTGTGGTCCCTTTCGTCCTGGGGGGCTACTTCACCCAGCCTGTGGTCACCTCCCTGGGGAGGTGACAGCCATGGGTCCCTGGGCCAGCAGGGATGGAGCTGATGCCACGGTGACTCTACGCTCTGTGCTGGGATGTGCGGCACTCCAGACTGGGATGGGGTTTTGGGGATGGGCTGAGCCCAAGCTGAGCCTGCTGGGGCCGGGCAGAGTGGCCGCATCCCCACGGCAGGAGGCAAGGACCATCGCAGGTGCCGTGAGGATGCCAAGGGACCTTGAGAAGTGAGGAGCTGGCAGGATGATGCTCGGGGTGCGGGCACAGAGAAAGGCTTTGTTTTCCCAACTCAATACCGAGTAGGGGTGCTCGGTGCTTGGGTTACACGTGGGCACCGATCCTTGCTCCTCTGCTTGGCTCTGGCACAAACACAGAGCTGCAATCCGCATCCCAGAACCACAGGCAAGAGCTCAGCGAGCTGAAAAACCTCCACCTCCCTCCCCAGCCAGGCAGCAGCGTTGCACCATGGTCCTGCAGACGGGTCTTGCTCCGGCAGCAAGGCGCGGGATGGAAGCCCAGACCCGCTCTCAGCCCCCCGGGTGCTGCACATCAAGGGAAGAGAAACTCAAAGCTTGCCTATCTGGAGAGGATCTGAGCCTTTTGCACGCACTAATTAAGCTTCGTCTGCCTCCCGGCACCTGCACAGATCCAATTAGTGATGATTTGTGAACTGCTTTGAAGATGAAAGACTTTTTCCGGGCAAAACATCAGCAGTGAAACAGCTGGGTGCTGAGCTTCTGGCTCATGTGGCTTTGACCCCATCCCCAAGTATGTCGTCACCCAGACGCCGGTGGCACCAAGCCGAGAGAGATGCCGCAGCCCCGCAGCACTGTCGGGTC